TGTGTGTGTGTGTGTGTGTGTGTGTGTGTGTTTGCGTGTGTGTGAGTTTGCGTGTGTGTGAGTGTGTGTGTGTGTGTATGAGTTTGCGCGCGTGTGTTTCAGGTTGTTCATCTTAGCTTCAGCAGCTTCCTAATCTCCTCTGTGTGTGTGTGTGTGTGTGTGTGTGTGTGTGTTTTCAGGGTAAAGCCATCGGCATCACTATCGGATGCATTCTGGGAATGTTTCCGTTGCTCTTCTTAAGCGATGATGATGAGGAGAAGAAGAAGAAGCATCCAAACTCAAAATGACAGGCTTTCCATCTGCACGACAACAATGACATTTATATTGACAAAGTGAAGAAATCAAGCAAAAGAAGAAAAGTGCACGTGGTAATCATCATCATCATCATCAGAGTAATGGAAAAAATCATTAAACCACAGTAGCTAGTTAATCTAGAGATAGACGTTATAACGAGTTGAGTTTCTCTCTCTTTAGCACTAACACTACTTTAAAGGTCCGTTCACGGCAGGAACGATAACTCTTAACGATTAGTTTTAATAATCACGCCACACTACAATCATAACGATAGCAACACAGAGGAACGGTAGGAATCGGCTTCAACGATTAGAATCAAGTCACGTGTATTTCTACAGCACTTTATACAGTACAGACCGATTCAAAGCAGCTTCGCCGAAATAAACCGGAAACGTCATCAGTTATGATCATAGTGTCAGTGCGGTTTAATCTGTAATATCACTGAAGATTAATAGTCTTTTACTCCTGAATACTGTCGTAGTTACTGTTCTCGGCGTGAACGGGCCTCTCTTTACCTTTCCGTTGTTTGTTTGCACTAATATTTCCTCTGGTTTAGATTTAAGCAGCATGTTGTTCTGCGGAAACTAGTTTTAGTTTAGTTTGCCGTGATTAACTCAAACTAGAAACTCATTTGCATTATATCTTTGCAACATCATGAAACCAAACATCTCACACATCAATGTGATTTCAGCTGGAGTTAGCTTTATTCTGAACGGCACAAGCTTTTTTACTCTCACGCATGATGTTATGTGACGTTCTGCGTTCCCATCATGCATCTGAGACGTGAGCTACACCTCTCTGAGCCGCTGGGATGAACGTTTCCTCAACCAAACACTGTGTTTTAATCAGTTCAGACGCGATTTTAATTTACTTGCTTCTTCAGTAAATGCATCTTGATTTTAAGAATGCTGGAAAACACAGAAATACTGAGCGAGAGCATCCGTTTATTGCAGTGTGATCAGAAGGGTCAGTTAGAGTTATTTAGTTGCACTATTTGTTTGTTAAATTAATTAAAAAGTAATGGAGATCCGTTGGAAGCTGTATTTTTTCAAACTTTGAAGTGTTGCTAATTTAGAGGCTATAGTGATGCATTGAGTTCCCTTCAATTTGTTCTTTACTTCGTCTGATTTATCTACGTGACATCTGAAACCCTGCATCTGCTCATGTGCATCGCTCAGATATGATTAAAAGCATATTTTTACTTTTATTTAAATCGTGCCAAGTTATAATCGCTGTGTGTGATTGAATGATGGACCGGGTCGTATATGGATGTGCTCGAGTTTGTATTCATGTCAAAAAATAAATAAAAGCATAAAAATTAATTACTTGAAATAAAATAAACATTAACTTACACTAAAATTGAACAAAAAAAATTTATACTTTAAAAAAAAAATAAAATAAAACTACTAAAACGTACAATTCTTTAACTGAAATAAAATTTAAAAAAATATTTCAACATTTGTCGTTTAGTTTAAATTAAAGTGCTATAATAATTATACTGAATAATTTAAACTAAATAAAAACAAATAATACAAAATTCTAAAACTTTAACGGAAATTAAAATGAAAGCATAAAAATTCATTACTTGCACTAACTTAAACACAAATTGATGAACTTAAAAAAAGAATTAATAAAACGACTAAAACGCACAATACTTTAACTGAAATAAAAATAATTATTTCAGCTGTTTCAACATTTGGTTTAAATTAAAGTGCTTTAATTATGCTAAATAATTAAAACTAAATAAAAACAAATAATAAAAAAATATTAATTCTAAAACTTTAACTGAAATTAAAATGAAAGCATAAAAATTAATTATTTAAACTAACTTAAACACAAAAAATGTATAAACTTAAAAAAACAAATTAATAAAACGACTAAAACGCACAACATTTTAACTGAAATAGTTTTTAAAAAATAATTATTTCAGCTATTTCAACATTTGGTTTAAATTAATAATTAAAAATTCTAAAACTTTAACTGAAATTAAAATGAAAAAAGAAAAATTAATTACTTGAAATAAAATAAACTAACAAACACAAACTTTTATAAACTTTTTTTATTTATTTAATAAAACGACTAAAACGCACAATACTTTAACTGAAATAAAAATAATTATTTCAGCTGTTTCAACATTTGGTTTAAATTAAAGTGCTTTAATTATGCTAAATAATTAAAACTAAATAAAAACAAATAATAAAAAAAGATTAATTCTAAAACTTTAACTGAAATTAAAATGAAAGCATAAAAATTTATTATTTAAACTAACTTAAACACAAAAAATGTATAAACTTAAAAAAACAAATTAATAAAACGACTAAAACGCACAACATTTTAACTGAAATAGTTTTTTAAAAATAATTATTTCAGCTATTTCAACATTTGGTTTAAATTAATAATTAAAAATTCTAAAACTTTAACTGAAATTAAAATGAAAAAAGAAAAATTAATTACTTGAAATAAAATAAACTAACAAACACAAACTTTTATAAACTTTTTTTATTTATTTAATAAAACAACTTAAACGCACAACACTTAAACTGAGCTGACATAATTCTTTTTAAAATGTTATTTCAGTTAAAGTTTTAGAATTTTTTTTATAATTTGTTTTAATAATTTAGCATAATTATCAAAGCACTTTAATTGAAACCAAATGTTGAAATAGCTGAAATTTTTTTTTTTTAAATTTGATTTATTTCAACATTTGGTTTCAATTAAAGTGGTTTGATAATTATGTCAAATAATTCAAACTAAATTTGAAAAAAATTCTAAAACTTTAATTGAAATTAAAATGAAAACAGAAAATATAAAAATGAAACCCAATTCAGAAATATTAACAAAAACTATAAGTATAAATAATGATTCCTGCGGCTTCAGAAGCGTAGCGTCTGATCTGAACACGTCTGCGCTGATGTGTTAGTAGTTCACGGATCACATGGTTTCTGGCTAACATATCAAGAATTTGCCCGAAACGTGTGTTACTAAGTTTAGTGTATGCTTATTATTGGACACTATGCATTCTAATACATATCCATGTGCATGTAAGCATTGCACAGCTGTCTCTGGGTAGTGGACATGCGGTCTATTTTACAGATTATTTTTCTGAGACTACATGGAATATTTGTACTTTTATAACTTCGTTTGTCGCTCCGCAGAACTACTGAAGTGAGCCGTACGAGTTCAAGCACACGGAGTATAAGTTTTGCTCAAAGATGTTGATCAACGCTATTCGTGAATGTGCTCTAAATGTCATGTTGTGTTGCTTTTACATTTGAATGAACTCATATTTGTTGATTTGGCTTCAGTTATTAAATCCGGATTCCATTTACGTCGGGTATTTCACTGAGAATCGAATTAAATAACACTTTGCAATAACGTTATCATGAACTAACAAAGAAAAATGCTTCTAATAATGTATTGGTAGCTGTTGAAATTAACATGATGTAGCTGACTTGAACTGTAAAAACAAACAGCAACAAATGTATCACTCATTGTTAGTTAATGCATTAACTGATTGGACCTTATTGTGTGAAGTGTTACCAAGTTATAAATGAAATAAACATCCCCTGAAGTTTTCTCACTGCAACTGATTTTAATAAAATGCTTTTATTGACAATATAAAAATCACACTGCATTATTATTATTATGTTCAGTGTCTAAAACACAGTTCAGTCTGACTTGAGGAGGGTTAACAAACGCCTCTGGAATCTACACTTGATTTTTATATTCTTAAAACAGTGCTTCTAGAATATATTCAGATCTGCTACACATGTGGACGTTTAGTAGATGAACAAACACTGATCTCATGGAAACATCCGTCTAGACTCTTAAAAATAAAGGTTCTTTGTTTGGCGCCAAAGGCTCCGTGGAGAACCTTCAGCACCCATGGAAACACTGAAGGTTCTTTAGGCTTTAACAATCTTCAGACAAATGAGATTCTTATAAGAACTGACCGTTGGAAGGTTCTTCGGGGCAATGGTTCTTCAATGGCAATCCCATTTTGAAAACTTTATTTTTAGGTATTAAAAGTGGAAAAGGGTATTTAGATGATTCAAATGTTCTTCACACTAAGAAGAAACGGTTCTTTGGGGAACCAAAAATGGTTCTTTGATTGGAATTCAATGCAAAAACCTTCTTTGGGAACCTTTATTTTTAAAGAGTGTATTTGCTTATAATTTCCTCTCTGTTCTCAACAAATGTCTGTCTACACTCTTAGAAATAAAGGTTCTTTATTGGCGCCAATGGTTCCATGAAGAACCTTCAACAACCATGAGACCATTAAAGGTTCTTCATAGTGGAAAAAGGTTAGTTTTTAAAATGTTCTTCACACTAAGAAAAGATGGTTCACTAAAAGGTTCTTTGGGGAACCAAAAATGGTTCTTCAATGGCATTCAATGTTTTCTGAACTTTTAAAGCGTGTTTTTTATTGGCGCCAATGGCTCCATGAAGAACCTTCAACATCCATCGAACCACTAAACCATAGAACTTTATAGTGGAAAACAGATTTTTAGATTATTCATCTGTGAGCCTGCAGCACAAAAGCAGTGTTAAGGCGCTGGGGGATATTTGTAGCAATAGCCAACAATACATTGTATGGGTCACAATTATACATTTCTCTTTTATGCCAAAAATCATTAGGATATTAAGTAAAGATCATGTTCCATGATGATATTTTGTACATTTCCTACTGTAAATATATCAAAACTTAATGTTTGATTAGTAATATGCATTGCTAAGAACTTCATTTGAACAACTTTAAAGATGATTTTCTCAATATTTAGATTTTTTTGCACCCTCAGATTCCAGATTTTCAAATATTGTCCGATCCTAACAAACCATACATCAATGGAGAGATTATTTATTCAGCTTTATTTAGATGATCTATAAATCGTGAATGTGCTCTAAATGTCATGTTGTGTTGCTTTTACATTTGAATGAACTCATATTTGTTGATTTGGCTTCAGTTATTAAATCCGGATTCCATTTACGTCGGGTATTTCACTGAGAATCGAATTAAATAACACTTTGCAATAACGTTATCATGAACTAACAAAGAAAAATGCTTCTAATAATGTATTGGTAGCTGTTGAAATTAACATGATGTAGCTGACTTGAACTGTAAAAACAAACAGCAACAAATGTATCACTCATTGTTAGTTAATGCATTAACTGATTGGACCTTATTGTGTGAAGTGTTACCAAGTTATAAATGAAATAAACATCCCCTGAAGTTTTCTCACTGCAACTGATTTTAATAAAATGCTTTTATTGACAATATAAAAATCACACTGCATTATTATTATTATTATGTTCAGTGTCTAAAACACAGTTCAGTCTGACTTGAGGAGGGTTAACAAACGCCTCTGGAATCTACACTTGATTTTTATATTCTTAAAACAGTGCTTCTAGAATATATTCAGATCTGCTACACATGTGGACGTTTAGTAGATGAACAAACACTGATCTCATGGAAACATCCGTCTAGACTCTTAAAAATAAAGGTTCTTTGTTTGGCGCCAAAGGCTCCGTGGAGAACCTTCAGCACCCATGGAAACACTGAAGGTTCTTTAGGCTTTAACAATCTTCAGACAAATGAGATTCTTATAAGAACTGACCGTTGGAAGGTTCTTCGGGGCAATGGTTCTTCAATGGCAATCCCATTTTGAAAACTTTATTTTTAGGTATTAAAAGTGGAAAAGGGTATTTAGATGATTCAAATGTTCTTCACACTAAGAAGAAACGGTTCTTTGGGGAACCAAAAATGGTTCTTTGATTGGAATTCAATGCAAAAACCTTCTTTGGGAACCTTTATTTTTAAAGAGTGTATTTGCTTATAATTTCCTCTCTGTTCTCAACAAATGTCTGTCTAGAAATAAAGAAATAAAGGTTCTTTATTGGCGCCAATGGTTCCATGAAGAACCTTCAACAACCATGAGACCATTAAAGGTGTGGAAAAAGGGAAAAAGGTTAGTTTTTAAAATGTTCTTCACACTAAGAAAAGATGGTTCACTAAAAGGTTCTTTGGGGAACCAAAAATGGTTCTTCAATGGCATTCAATGTTTTCTGAACTTTTAAAGCGTGTTTTTTATTGGCGCCAATGGCTCCATGAAGAACCTTCAACATCCATCGAACCACTAAACCATAGAACTTTATAGTGGAAAACAGATTTTTAGATTATTCATATGTGAGCCTGCAGCACAAAAGCAGTGTTGAGTCGCTGGGGGATATTTGTAGCAATAGCCAACAATACATTGTATGGGTCACAATTATACATTTCTCTTTTATGCCAAAAATCATTAGGATATTAAGTAAAGATCATGTTCCATGATGATATTTTGTACATTTCCTACTGTAAATATATCAAAACTTAATGTTTGATTAGTAATATGCATTGCTAAGAACTTCATTTGAACAACTTTAAAGATGATTTTCTCAATATTTAGATTTATTTAGATTTTTTTGCACCCTCAGATTCCAGATTTTCAAATATTGTCCGATCCTAACAAACCATACATCAATGGAGAGATTATTTATTCAGCTTTATTTAGATGATCTATAAATCTCAATTTCAGAAAATGTACCCTTATGACTGGTTTTGTGCTCCAGGGTCACATATGTTCTTCACACTAAAACAAAATGGTTCTTTTAATAACTGATCACTGACGGGCTCTTTCAGAAACTCTCTTTTGGAACCTTTTTGGAGTGTGTGAACTCTTAAAAATAAAGGTTCTTTATTGGCATTGATGGTTCCATAAAGAACCTTTAACATCCACGGAACCTTCCAATTGCACATATGGTTCTTCGCACTAAGAAAAAAAGAACTTTTGACTGAAAGGAATGTCATTCCTTTGACGTTCAATGCAAAAACCTATTTCAGAACTTTTACTTTTAAGAGTGTATTTCCTCGTCCCGTAATGAATAATCATCCTGTTCCACCTTCACTTGTCCAGGTGCATCTGCGTCGTCATTTTGACGGCCAGACGTCGTCGTCGTTCCCTGGCAGCGAGCCTGATGCTTGAGGAAACTGTCTCTCCAGACGATCTTCTTGCCGCAGAGCGCGCACTCGTACGGACGCAGGCCTCCGTGTTATATACAATTAAATATATGTTTCATTTAAGCCTATAGGCTTAAATTAATCGCACTTAGATTTTGTCTAGAGAATACATGCGTGTGTGTGTTATAAACAAACGTACCATTACATTTTCCAGCCTGGAAACCCCTTTCCGGAAAACTAGCCAACTCGTGGAAAAATAAAAACCACAAAGATATTAAATTTCAGCCTGTTAACTCCAGGCATTTCTGCTCTGACATGAAGTTTCTGATGCAAACGAGAAAGAAGAAGTCTGTAAGGATATAATGGATTCAGGAGTTCCTGTCTGATTCAGAATCTGAATAGAGATTAGGTGTAATTATCTGACATACTTTGCCAAAACACTTCATCAAGTGTTTTCTGTGGTATATCTGACCTTAAATTACTTAAAGACTGCTCTTGTTCCCTGTAATCATCTCATAACCAAAGAAAACGCAGAAAGATTGGAAAAATGTTTCTGATGGATGCAGAGGTTGAAGCCAAAATGATTATAGTTAACTAAAACTAAAACCATAATAAACATTACTTGTTGATTATATACTAAATAAACAAACTGAAATATTTGTATTTAGTTCACCTTGATAACTAAAACTAATATATATATATATATATATATATATTTTAAACTTTGAAAATGGTGTAGAAACTATTTTCACTCATAGATTGCTAGCGCGTCACAATTATTTAACAAAGAAACAGCAAATAAATTGTAAATTGAACATTAACTTTTAAAGTAGAATGATTCAAATAGTATTTTCTTGTACTCCACTAATATTTTGTTTTATTTTGACAACTTGGATAGACATTAAACTAATGCAACAGTTACTAAAACTTCAAATAAAATTAACATAACAGGAAAATTAAAAATGAATCCAAAATATTAATAAAAATGGTAGTATCTCAATAATACTTCACTGCGAATAACTCATTTTCACTCAGAAATTTCACAAATAATTACAAATAAAGGACAAATAACACATTGAAATAAACATGAAATTTTAAAGTAGAAAAACTATAAACTAGAAATAGTATTTGAATATTGTAAAATGTGCTCCAATAATCTTGTTTTATTTACAACATGGAAAATCATATTATTACAGTGAATAAACATATAAAAAAATATACATCAAATGACAAAAAAAAAAAAAAACTGAATTACTAAAACTTTCAATGAAATTTAAATGAAAACAAAAAATAATATATAATATTTATTTAAATATATAAATATTTAGAATATGCTGTAGAAGTGGCTGTTTAAAGTTATAAATAAAATAGATTATTGGAATATTTAATATCAGTTTTTTATTTCAAAATGTCATGTTTAATTCAGTGTTACTTGCCTTTTCTTTGTAATAGTTTATAAAATGTACTAGCGATTTCTGAGTGAGACTTCTTTCAATACCATTCTTTTTTTCATTGTATAAAAATAAAAACTGATTCAAAATGTTAATAAAAACTATTGTGGTATATCTCAGTGATACTAAAATAAGATGATGGCGGCTTCATCACTCATATTCATTCAGCTGCACAAATCTTAAATCCAAGTGAAAAGTGTTTTTACAAATACATCTCCCTGCAGCACAAAAGCAGTGTTAAGTCGCTGGGGTATATTTGTAGCAATAGCCAACAATACATTGTATGGGTCACAATTATACATTTCTCTTTTATGCCAAAAATCATTAGGATATTAAGTAAAGATCATGTTCCATGAAGATATTTTGTACATTTCCTACCGTAAATATATCAAAACTTAATGTTTGATTAGTAATATGCATTGCTAAGAACTTCATTTGAACAACTTTAAAGATGATTTTCTCAATATTTAGATTTTTTTGCACCCTCAGATTCCAGATTTTCAAATATTGTCCGATCCTAACAAACCATACATCAATGGAGAGATTATTTATTCAGCTTTATTTAGATGATCTATAAATCTCAATTTCAGAAAATGTACCCTTATGACTGGTTTTGTGCTCCAGGGTCACATATGTTCTTCACACTAAAACAAAATGGTTCTTTTAATAACTGATCACTGACGGGCTCTTTCAGAAACTCTCTTTTGGAACCTTTTTGGAGTGTGTGAACTCTTAAAAATAAAGGTTCTTTATTGGCATTGATGGTTCCATAAAGAACCTTTAACATCCACGGAACCTTCCAATTGCACATATGGTTCTTCGCACTAAGAAAAAAAGAACTTTTGACTGAAAGGAATGTCATTCCTTTGACGTTCAATGCAAAAACCTATTTCAGAACTTTTACTTTTAAGAGTGTATTTCCTCGTCCCGTAATGAATAATCATCCTGTTCCACCTTCACTTGTCCAGGTGCATCTGCGTCGTCATTTTGACGGCCAGACGTCGTCGTCGTTCCCTGGCAGCGAGCCTGATGCTTGAGGAAACTGTCTCTCCAGACGATCTTCTTGCCGCAGAGCGCGCACTCGTACGGACGCAGGCCTCCGTGCGTCTTGACGTGTTTGGTCAGGTGGTGCTTCATCTTGAAGCTCTTGGAGCAGACGGGGCAGACGAACGGACGCAGGTTCAGGTGCTGCATTTTCACGTGGCGGTCGCGCATGCTCTTCAGCGTGTACGCTTTGCCGCAGTGACAGAAGTGAACTTTGGGCGTCGCAGAGAGAGGAGAGCACGGGGAGGACGAGGACGACTGCGAGGCCCAGGAGAGCTCGGACGGTCCCGGCGCCAACTGGTCGGATGGTCCCGGCGGTGGCAAAGGACGCTGGGAGATCTGCCCCGTGGCCTTTTCGATCTCGTCGTAGGTCTCGAACGTGACGTCCGTTTCGTCCTCCTCGTCTTCGTCGTCCAGGAGCTTGGCGTCCGACAAAGTCCACTGGTTCCACAGTCCGTCCGTCTCGCCGCTCTCTCTGAGACGTCCGTCCGACTCGGCGGCTCCTGAGAGAAGACAAGAGCAGACAACAAGTCAAAAACACGTCGGTTCTCCACGGTTCCCCCTGGTGGACGGGCGCTAAACTGCAGTGATGAAGAAGCTCCACTCACCGGCCTGGTGCTCCTCACACTTCACCTTCACTTTGTCCTCATCCAGCGGCTCTCCGACTCCTTCATCCGCTTCCATCCTCCGCTGCTCCTCGTCTTCCTTCGCTCCTCGGAGGCGAGCGAGGACTCGGTGCCTCGCGAGGTCCGAAGTTTCGATGGACGGCAAAGGCGCGACAGGGAATGCGTGGAAACCTTCGTCTCCCGTATTTGGGCCGCATTCGGGCTCCGTTCGGACGGGGAACGTCAGGCTGCTTCTGCTCCACCTGCTCTGAGTCGGACGCCTCCATGTGGCCAGAGGCGGAAGCGCGCTTTGCGGCCGTTTTTCCAGAGTTCGTTCGGGAATGCTTCAGATTAATATAGTTATAAGAGTAAATATGATTTCGGAGGGATTTAAAATACACGTTTTTTGGCGGGATTCCCTCGCATTCCAGGCAAAAACCGCTGACCTGGCGACACTGGCTGGATAATTATCATATCGGTGTGAAGAGGTTAGAGGAATGTTCAAATAACTTTCTACAAACCAAAAACTAACTAACTAAAAACAAACCTAGACGATCGGGGCTTAAGCTGTCAATCAAATTCAAACAAATCAAACCGCCAAAACCAAACCGTCAAAATCTAACCGCCAAAACCAAACGGTCATAAATATGCAAATGAGGGCCACAGATATTTGCCAGATATTTTATATTACAAAAATGTTATTTCATTCATGTACCATGTTTATATTATTCTCCATCAAATGATGTAAAATGCATGTAGAATAATCAGCAGAAACATCCAAAGCAAAGTCTCAAGGATCATTATTTAAGATGAATTAATTGTTGATGTTTGTGAATGGGTTAGGTGTTGCCTCTGAATAACTCAAGTGAGGTTAGTTTGTGGAGGGTGGGAGGCTGTTGTTAAAAATGGTGCATAATCTCTGATTGTTATATTGACAGCCGTAGCTTTAGAGGCCTCAAAGCCATCACTTGCTTATCAATGTCTCTGCTTTAAATGACATTCCTGTTCTAATTGTTAATGTAGTACACATCTCTATATCTCACGTCAGGCAGAATTACTCATGTTAGAAACATCTAACATGCAATGCTATGTGCCATGTTTTATTCACCCAGCCCTCTAGAGAGAGATGGAAACTGTTTTCTTGCTGCTGTCATCGAGTGCTTGCTAATGAGGGAGTGCTGGGTCTCTGCAGCTGATGTTGTAAAGTGCCCTTACATGCATGCATGCAGAGTGCCACGAGATAAGCCAGTTTGTGATCTGGTGCTATATGTATATATATATATATATATATGTGTATTATTACAAAAATTCTATACTTAATTGAACTGCCCAATTTCCATTCATCACTTTATTAATTTGAATAATGAATGTAAAACAACCTGCCAAAATGTACATAACCTCAAAGCCGCCCCTTCCGCAAGGATCATAATTTAAGATGAATGCATTTCTGATGTGTGTGTAGTACGGCTTCTGCCATCAGTCAAGGCAAGAGAAGCAGAGTCTGGATGAGAACGTTATCGAGATTACAAACGCAAGTATTACAAAATGTGACATTAAAAAGTGTAAAAGTCACTAGTTTTTACAAAGTAACTGTCCAACAGCGACACCCGCTGACAGCTGAACATCAGTTCACAAATCAAATATATTGTTTATATTATTACTGTCTTTTGTTATTGTTTTGGAATAAATATGAAAATACGTAAAAACACTAACTTGATGAGATTTATTGGTTTTGATAAACAGAATATTACAGTGTAAAAATACAAAATATAATTGTATTTTGCCTTTTAAATGTAAACACTGCACACAGGTGTTTCTAATCACCTCACTCACTATATAACACCCACTCAAGACAGTTGACCCTGAGAGGTCAGCTAAATATCTACAGCGGATCTAAAATATGAATAATTAATTATAACTAGTTATGGTTAATTATTCATATTTCCTCATGAGCTGATTCGTTACAAGATTTATTGGTTTTGAGAAACAGAATATTACATAGTGTAAAAATACAAAATATAATTGTATTTTGCCTTTTAAATGTAAACACTGCACACAGGTGTTTCTAATCACCTCACTCACTATATAACACCCA